GCACCGTTCTTCAGGCTGAGCTCTAGGGAGCTCTGGATGGTCTGAGTTGGTTGGAATTTAGGCTCATGTCACATGATCTTGGAAATAAATAATGTCCTCACTGTTCAACTCTAAATTATGCCCTCAACAAAGAGCAGATCCCCATCAATGTGAATTCTCACGTGATTACAGCTATTCAGTATTGACTGGCGAAAGATTGGTACATTAAGTTTTAACATATTTATCACAAGGGGAATCGTTGTGTCGACCTCCTAGCCAACTTGGCCTTCTCTCTCCCCCTCGGATCTAATTATGTGCAACAACCGCCTACTGAGCTTCTGAGTCTCCTTTGGGAGGACTTTACTGGAATTTCATAGCCTAAAATGTATAATCTTTAATTATCCATTTTGGCTTTTTTCTCCTTTGTATAAAAAAAAAAGTCTTTCTCTCTTTCACTTAAAAAGACTCAAAAACCTACACTACCCATCAATTCCTTAATTCTTCACCTCCATAAATTAATTACTAATTATTAATTACTTAAGTAATAATTAAAATTAATTTATTATACATATATATGTTTTTTTCTGCAGAGTTTTTGTCTCTGTGCTCCATCAATCATCTTATTTTCAGGGAAAGAAGTAATTGGACCAGGGAAGATGAAGAAGAAGAAGAAGGAGAGAGAGAGAGAGAGAGAGAGAGAAGAGAAGAATAAGAGAGAAAAAATGGAAAGTGAAAAAGAAATAGGAAAAGAAAACTGAAGAGAGAAAACGCGTATAAAAGATTTTGTTATACGAGCTGCTACTCTGAATAGTCATCTAATCATTTCAGTTCTATCGCTTTGCTTTCTTCTCTCGTTCTGTTTGGCTCTCGAGTTTCTCAGGTATTTACCTGAGATTGAATAAAATGTCCTCTACTAATTACGTCAAACTTAAAATTAAAAATTTTTCGTCAAAAACTCTATTAGTATCTTCATAAGTGGCATCCTTGAATAATAATGATTATTAATTCATTGGGTTTATGTGCCATCTAGGTCAAAGTCACCGTATAGATTCCGAGAGCAATGGGATCTCGGAGGAGTTTAAGCTAGCTTGAAAGAAGGTGGTTTAGAAATTATTCTATTAAAACAAATATTTGGGCGGTTTAGAAATTGTTTCAATGATATAGAACCTTTTGCCCTTTTCTTCCTACTTCGATTTTTATGATGAAAGGGTGAAATATTCTGCTGTCTAATAAACCCAGTTGATGGTAGACTGAAATGTGAAGATTCCTGTTGCTGCCCTAGATTTACTCTCCTACCAGAATTTCTCACTGTGCTTTCTGTGTTCCCTCCAACACTAGAAGGAAAAGCATCGGAAGCTACTCCCCTGGACCAACCCCAATTCTTGGAGTTGGTTGATCAGGTGGACTTGGAGAATTCCTCAAGGGCATAGACAAATTTAAGCTGCTAGAAGAATCATATCGACCAGAACCAGTATGCCAAAACAGAACTTTCAGCTTGTGTATAGCTGCTTGAACTTCCACCTGAGTACCTTCAAGCGCCTTTCTCTTGCAGGATAAACCCCAATTGCCTGAGTGAAGAACCTGAGAAGCCCATATTTTCCTCCAGCACATGGGCTAGAGTTTCCAGATGAAGTCTCACCGTTACTTGAAGAACTAGCGCTAGGGTAGATACTGACTCCTGTATTCTGCCCACCATTACCACTTATCCCCGCATGCCTCATATTCTAATGCACATTTTGTGAATTATGACTGGAGCTAGAACCTTGCAAAAATAAAGGTCCACTTCTAACCTGATTCCGATTGTGGCTGGTGTGGAGCCTCCCAGGAAAAAGAATATTAGTTGGCTCAAGTCGCCTTTCATCTACCCGAAGGCTACTGCCAGCACGCACATTACAAGTAGAAGACAGCTCCGGTTCCATCTTCACCCTGTCATTATTGACCTGGTCTTGGGAACCCACTCTAAGGCTAGGTTCACCGGGATTCCAACCACTTAAGCTCTGGACATCATGAGCGTTCAAATTTATACAAGTTGACCCACCAGAAGATACTGCATAACTTGGCAATAAGCTGTCCACTGGATTAAGCACATTATTCAAGGAATTCTGAGGGTTTATACCAGAATTGTTTGAAACAGATCCATGATCAATGTCAACTGTTTCAGGTAAGGATTCAATGATATTCCCTTGCCGTTGCATTGGATTTAATACCTTCCACCTAAAATCCTATTCCTTTATTCCGGAGGAAAAGGTGGGTTCAATTTACACACTTCTCTGCCGCACCTAAAATCATGAAATCAGTAAAAAAAGAACCAAAATGAGCAGAAGCCAATAGATGAAAGAACTTCAGATATAAAATTATCTACTGGGTGAGAGAGAATAAAAAGACAAATAACATTCGTGCAACATGCACCCTTACGTACTAGAAAAGTTATAAGGCTTCCATATTATTGAACTCTAAATAGTTACGCAAACTGACTGCCAACATTAGCTGCCTCTCATCAATAGAGAAACCTAGTTATTAACATCTGAAACTGTAAAGAAGCAACTATTTCTTGCGGCTGTGGTCCTTAACAGCTACATAGCAACAACTTAGACATGTTTATTTTCAATTCTGGAACCTTCATACATCAAGGGGATCTATAGATAAGCAATGGCAGGCTACTTTTCAGGGCAAATTCTAGAATATATATTTTAAGAATATCTACAAGTTATAGCATATAAATTATAATAAATACCAGTAATCTTCTCCAGTACTGTTTAGGGGAAGAGGTGCCAACTGCAGTTGAAGTACTATGTAAAGAGGCAATTTGCTGCCAAGCACAGAATTTCTCCTATCCCAATGTCCTTTCTGAACACTAACGGCAATGTGCTTGATAAGTTTTAGCTTACTTCCTATGGACACTCATGATTCAAAGCATTGAAATGAAGATAAACATAAATGTGAATATCGGATTAAAAATTACACAAGCATTGAACTGATGCTCATAGACAACGAATAAGAACCAAAATGCCCATATCATTCTACTGAAAATTCAAGAATCAAACATAGAATGCAAGACAAACAAAATGGAAAAGTAAAAATCACTGCAAATAAAAACTTCAACTCCTGCATTGACAACACAGACCTCCACTTCACCGATTCAGAAATCCCCAAACTAATAAAAAATATGTTCAATTAGGGAAAAACACACAAAACTAAAAGTCTAAAAGTTCAAGAAAAATGGTAGAAAACTTTGTAGCAATGGTCTGATACACTGCCCATAAATCACAATCAGAAACCCGCAATCTGTAAATTATTGGTAAAAGAGAAATGCCCAATTCAACGAGGCCAGAGATAAACAAACCAACTTATTCAAAGAAACCAAAAAAGAACAACTATCAAAGGGGAAAATGAAAGAAGCGAAAAGAAAAACCTGAAAAAAAGCAACAAAATCAAAACGATAGGAACGAAGGGCCACACAGATCCTTCTCACACTCCAAAAAAATTGCACGAAAATGAACTAAAACAACCAAAAAATTTCGCGAGACACAGAATCCATAAAACAATACCCTAAAATTCGTTAAACTGGAAGCGATCTTGATAAGAAAATAGCTTAAGATCAAATGCAAAAGATTAAGACAAGTATCTGAGAGACTCGAGAACCAAACAGAACGAGAGAAGAAAGAGAAGCGATAGAACCGAAAACGATCGAATGACTACTCAGAGCAGTAGCTGGTTTAACAAAATCTCTTATAGGCGTTTTCTTTCTCTTTTCAGTTTTCTTTTCCTATTTTCTTTTTCACTTTTCCATTTTTTCTCTTATTCTTGTCTCCCTCTCTGTCTCTCTCTCTGTCTCTCTCTCTCTCTCTTCTTCTTCGTCCTCCGTGGTCAGTTATTCTTTCCCTGAAAATAAGATGATTGATGGAGGAGAGAGACAAAAACTCCTCAGAAAAAAACATATATATATATATAATAAATTAAAAAATAAAAAACTCAGATAAAGAGATTAATAAAAACATACAATTAATTTTAATTAATTACTTAATTAATTAATAATTAGTAATTAATTACTTAATAATTAGTGATTAATTTATGGAGGTGAAGAATTAAGGAAGTAGTGGTGGGTAGTGTGGGTTTTTAACAACGACACGTACAATTATATTTTTATGCAAAATAACGTACTAATTAGTATATATATATATATATATTTACAATTAATTCGGTTTAAAAATAAATATTTTTTTTCACATAACTCGTTATTATTATTATAATCATATAATTAATATCAAATAATATGATCTAATTTAAATAAGTAAATATTAATCTACCATTAATTATAGAAATTATATGAATCCATAGCAAATTGTACAATTTTGAATTGATTTTGTGGTTGACTTAATTATAGTTAAAATTAAATGTAATTAAATATTCAGATAACTTACTTATTTTTTTTACTATTGACAATAATATATATAATTATATTTTATAGAAAATAAATTATGTTTATATATTACTACATATATTTATATAATTCATTTTAATATATATATTGAGATTTTTATTATGCGTTATAAAAATTAAACTGAATTGATAATAATTTAAATTTTAATCTAAAAAATTAAGATTAAATTATTTTTTAAAAAATATATTTAATTTAAATAATAAACTATAATTTAATTTTGTAAATATGATTTTTAATTATTATAAATAAATTATTTTTTAAAATTTTATTAAGTATTTTGTATAAAAATTAACATAAATATTTTAAAAAATAAAATAATCTATTTTAGTTCAGACTTATTTTTTATATTTCAGCATATTTGGTTTAAATTTAAACTGAATTTAAATCGTTAAACATTATATATAAATGATCGGATATTGTATTCCAAATTATATAATTTTACTTAATAAATAATTCTTAATTTATAGTTTAAATTTAGATTCAATGATTATTAATCCCTCCTATTTTCTCTATTAATAGATATAATTCAAAATCATAAATTATAATATCCGAAAATAGTATAAAATATGAATAAATCTTCTCAATTTAGAAAATAAATCTAATGTAAAATTGTATGTATATCTACACATATATGTAAAGATTTTTATGAAATTAATTTAAAAAAAAATTATATGGGTCAAATATTAAAAAAATAAATAAATAAAGAAAAAAAAAAACAGGAGATGTCATAGACCCCACATTTGCTGGTGCATGAAAGATACGTGTACACTACAAATGCCCGTCTCTCCTTCACTTAAAAAGACTCAAAAACCCACACTACCCACCACCACTTCCTTAATTCTTCACCTCCATAAATTAATTACTAATTATTAATTAATTAAGTAATTAATTAAGATTAATTGTATGTTCTTATTAATCTCTTTCTCTGGGTTTTTTTATTTTTTTAATTTATTATATATATATATATATGTTTTTTTCTGAGGAGTTTTTGTCTCTGTCCTCCGTCAATCATCTTATTTTCAGGGAAAGAAGTAACTGAACCAGGGAAGACGAAGAAGAAGAGAGAGAGAGAGAGAGAGCGAGGGAGAGAAGGATAAGAGAGAAAAAATGGAAAAGTGAAAAAGAAAATAGGAAAAGAAAACTGAAAAGAGAAAGAAAACGCCTACAAGAGATTTTGTTAAACCAGCTACTGCTCTGAGTAGTCATTTGATCGTTTTCGGTTCTATCGCTTCTCTTTCTTCTCTCGTTCTGTTTGGCTCTCGAGTTTCTCAGGTACTTGTCTTAATATTTGCATTTGATCCTAAGCTATTTTCTTATCAAGATCGCTTCCAGTTTAACGAAATTTAGGGTATTGTTTTGTGGATTCTGTGTCTCGCGAAATTTTTTGGTTTTTTTAGTTCATTTTCGTGCAATTTTTTGGAGGGTGAGAAGGATCTGTGTGGCTCTAGTTGGGGTTTTCGTTCCTATCGTTTTGATTTTGTTGCTTTTTTCCAGGTTTTTCTTTTCTGCTTCTTCCATTTTCCCCTTTGATTGTTGTTCTTTTTTTGTTTCTTTGAATTAGTTGGTTTGTTTATCTCTGGCCTCGTTGAATTGGGCATTTCTTTTTGACCAATAATTTATAGATTGCGGGTTTCTGATTGTGATTTATGGGCAGTGTATCAGACCATTGCTACAAAGTTTTCTACTATTTTTCTTGAACTTTTAGACTTTTAGTTTTGTGTGTTTTTCCCTAATTGAACATATTTTTTATTAGTTTGGGGATTTCTAAATCGGTGAAGTTGGGGTCTGTGTTGTCAATGCAGGAGTTGAAGTTTTGTTTGCAGTGATTTTTACTTTTCCATTTTGTTTGATTCTTGAATTTTCGGTAAAATGATATGGGCATTTTGGTTCTTATTCTTTGTCTATGAGCGTCAGTTCAATGCTTGTGTAATTTTTAATCCGATATTCACATTTATGTTTATCTTTGTTTCAATGCTTTGAATAATGAGTGTCTCATAGGAAGTAAGCTAAAACTTATCAAGCACATTGCTGTTAGTGTTCAGAAAGGACATTGGGAAAAATAAAACTTGTTTGCCATTCGGTTCTTAGTGCTTTGTTTATGTGGACCTGGCAGCATAGTTTCACGTGCTAAGTGTGTGCTGTATATGAGCTAAAACCATAATGGTAATGGCAGGTAAATGCAATAATTACTTCGGTTACGAAAGCGAAGGCTAACGGATGAGCGTCGGTTATGTGTAAGAATAGGTTGAATATAATATACATTGTATCAAATAGACAGAGAAGCTTATTGGTTTGGTATTATAATAATGATATTTCTTCCATAGCAGTTATCATAATAATTACTGGAAATGAATATAAAGCTTCAATAAACTGACATGGTGGCATATGTGACACTGAGCCTGTGATTGGTTCCGGTGTATTGACATGATGTAAATTTGATATAGGAGAAATTCTGTGTTTGGCAGCAAATTGCCTCTTTACATAGTACTTCAACTGCAGTTGACACCTCTGCCCCTAAAAAGTACTGGAGAAGATTACTGGTATTTATTATAATTTATATGCTATAACTTGTAGATATTCTTAAAACATTTATTCTAGAATTTGCCCTGAAAAGTAGCCTGCCATTGTTTATCTATAGATCCACTTGATATATGAAGGTTCCAGAATCGAAAATAAACATGTCTAAGTTGTTTCTATGTAGCTATTAATGAACATGGCCGCAAGAAATAGTTGCTTCTTTACAGTTTCAGATGTTAATAACTAGGTTTCTCTATTGATGAGAGGCAGCTAATGTTGGCAGTCAGTTTGCATATAACTATTTAGAGTTCAATAATATGGAAGCCTTATAACTTTTCTAGTATGTAAGGGTGCATGTTGCACGAATGTTATATCTGAAGTTCTTTCATCTATTGGCTTCTGCTCATTTTGGTTCTTTTTTTTACTGATTTCATGATTTTAGGTGCGGCAGAGAAGTGTGTAAATTGAACCCACCTTTTCCTCCGGAATAAAGGAATAGGATTTTAGGTGGAAGGTATTAAATCCAATGCAACGGCAAGGGAATATCATTGAATCCTTACCTGAAACAGTTGACATTGATCATGGATCTGTTTCAAACAATTCTGGTATAAACCCTCAGAATTCCTTGAATAATGTGCTTAATCCAGTGGACAGCTTATTGCCAAGTTATGCAGTATCTTCTGGTGGGTCAACTTGTATAAATTTGAACACTCATGATGTCCAGAGCTTAAGTGGTTGGAATCCCGGTGAACCTAGCCTTAGAGTGGGTTCCCAAGACCAGGTCAATAATGACAGGGTGAAGATGGAACCGGAGCTGTCTTCTACTTATAATGTGCGTGCTGGCAGTAGCCTTCGGGTAGATGAAAGGCGACTTGAGCCAACTAATATTCTTTTTCCTGGGAGACTCCACACCAGCCACAATCGGAACCAGGTTAGAAGTGGACCTTTATTTTTGCAAGGTTCTAGCTCTAGTCATAATTCACAAAATGTGCATTTGAATATGAGGCATGTGGGTATAAGTGGTAATGGTGGGCAGAATACAGGAGTCAGTATCTACCCTAGTGCTAGTTCTTCAAGTAATGGTGAGACTTCATCTGGAAACTCTAGCCATGTGCTGGAGGAAAACATGGGCATCTCAGGTTCTTCACTCGGCAATTGGGGTTTATCCTGCAAGAGAAAGGCGCTTGAAGGTACTCCTGGACAGTATTCAGGTGGAAGTTCAAGCAGCTATACACAAGCTGAAAGTTCTGTTTGGCATACTGGTTCTGGTCGATATGATTCTTCTAGCAGCTTAAATTTGTCTATGCCCTTGAGGAATTCTCCAAGTCCACCTGATCAACCAACTCCAAGAATTGGGGTTGGTGCTAGGGGAGTAGCTTCTGATGCTTTTCCTTCTAGTGTTGGAGGGAACACAGAAAGCACAGTGAGAAATTCTGGTAGGAGAGTAAATCTAGGGCAGCAACAGGAATCTTCACATTTCAGTCTACCATCAACTGGGTTTATTAGACAGCAGAATATTTCACCCTTTCATCAGTCTGCCAGATCTGTCCCATTTAATGGCTCTCTGGAGTTGAGATCAACACCACCGGCAACCACAAATATGGGTAGTGCTGAGAGTCAGCCGCATGCTATGCATATTTCTGCTTTGTCAAGAAATGTGCAGCCTTTCCACTGGAGTGGGACTTCCACTTCAAGGGTTGGTTCATCAAGTAATTTAATCCCTGGTGAGAGAGAAGCTGCATTTCAAGAGGATGCAAATGTAAGAAGCATTCCAAGAAACAATGCAGAGCATCCAATGTTTGCAGCTGCAGCTGACATGAGGAATGTAGTGCAGGATCCTGCTAGTTGGAGTCTGGCCCCGGCAAATATTGGCACTTCTGGAGGTGCTCCATCTGCTGCTCGAATTGGATCAAGTTCAGGCATCCATCCTTTTCCAACTCCTGGCTGGATTCCTCCTCTTAATGCCTTGGCACCTAATCAACAAAGATTACCAGACTTTGTTCCTTGGCATTTATCTCCAACTATTGACTTGGACTCTATTAGTTCCTTTCCCCCATTACCTTCTGGCCCTTCTGTTTCTTCTGTTGATACAATGATGGCATCAGGATCTAATAGCCAGGGCCATCGTCAACAAAATCGACGATCGGCACTGTTATTGGAGAGACAAAGTGATGATGCTATTGGTGCATCCCATTCATTCCGAGCTGTAGCTGCAGATACTGAAGGGCGGCATCGACTGATATCTGAGGTTTGTCTCTTAAATATTCTTTCTCTTCGTCTGAATTTTGTCAGTGTTGTTATGACATTCTTTGAGTTGATTGTATGATACAGGTAATCCCTGATATTTGGCTTTTCAGATTACAAAATGTTGACAGACTGTGTCCATTATCTTGTTTTAACTATTGCTTGTAGCATATCTCACAATCTTGAATTTATCCTCACCTTAGAAGATGTGAACTTTTACGGTTGAAATTAATCAATTCTTTCCTATATGACCATATTATAATTCATTTGTTATAGACAAGAGTAATAATTTGCACCTTATGCCCTGTATCAAATGGTTTGATATCCATAGTGGCACATTTACTTGTGGGTACCCTAAAGTTTTACCGTGATGTTCTATATTGATTTCATTCAGCTTCTTCCATTTAGAAGGCATGATTTGATAATTCCCTTTAGAAATTAGAAAACTCAACTTTAGTTTGTCTTTCACTTTTGCCTAGGGATTTTTAAGATCTATGTACGCTTGAGTGCTAATGCAGCTATATTCTAGCAGCAGGATTAGCATCAAAATGACTGTTTTTCCAAATTGCTGAAAAAATGAAGTGGTTATTTTTGTTTTTAGTAATGGGATGCTTTCTCTAATGTAGCTATCCTCTTCCTTGCAGTATTCTTGTAATATGTTTTTGAATATACTGCTGTACAGCATTAGATTTCTCAATAGGTCAGACATGGTGTTCATAGTTGGTTATCATCTTATAATGGTCACCTGGAGTATTACGGCAGACTTTGCTTGGTTCTTCCTAAACATGTCTAAATTTTGCTGTTTATTCTTAAGTGGATGGTTTCAGCACTCTGCTAATGTTTAACTGTTTTATTCTTGAAAATATTATGGCTCATATTGGATTTTTGATTAGCCACTACTGGTGTTCTTGTTGTGCCAGATTCGGCAGGTCCTGAATGCCATGCGTAGGGGAGAAAACTTGCGAATTGAGGTACGGCAACGTTTACAATTGCATACATTTGAATTATTGTAACCTTATTTTGGCTGCTTATGTTGACTCTAGAGAGAATTTAGCTGAAGTCATCAATATGAAGCCTTTTTTTTTTACCTTGTACAGTTGTTCTCATGCATTTTACTCCTGAAGTTTATTACTGAATCAACTAATTTTTTTTGCTGAATCTAAGTTGGCACAACAAAAATAAATGAGGCAGAGGTTTTCAAATGAAATTCCATGCTCTCATACATAATATGGGGCATGATAAATTCTCCCCATGTCAAGATAATTTTTCAGGGGAAGACAAGGTTGATTCAAAACTTAGGACTGCAGTATTTCTAATCTTTGTCTACATGCAGGAATTAAAGTACTAAGTTTTAGTTGGCACATTTGAGTTATTTTTATATAAAAGACCAAACATTAATTTTCTTATCGAATAGACAGTTTTGATGGAAATAGTAACAGTTGTTATCATGGTAAATATGCATATGTGGCCATTACTGTTGCACATTTGGATGTTGAGATAAGAAATAAGCACTGAACTTGTCATGCTATGTGGACATATTGTTTCCCTCTTTACACTTAGCTTATCTTTTTCAGATTACTCCTGTTCCCACTTCACTCAACATCAACACTAATTCGACTAAGCCACAACCACCAGAACATGGTCCTCACCACCTTTTTACAATCTCACTGTCCGGCTTCTCTTGCTCGGGCCACTCTTCCCCATCTTCACTTATAGCACCTTCACTAACTTCACCACACCACAACCACCACCTTTCACCGTAGCCATCACCCTTCATCTCTATTACATAAAATTCACCATCTTGATTTCTTCCTTTGCCAAAATCCATCACAACTGCCACTTCTCTTTCTACTGTTTCACTATTCACAATTGGCCAACACAGACACAATTCGATTTCTCCTTTCTCCTAAAATGTTCTCAGCTCAAGGAAGACCCTCAAGCATGCATATCTCAATGCAAAGGAAAAACCAGAGAGAGAAATCCAAGTAGCTGAAGTTGGCAATTTTGGGTTTATTTGGTATGAAGATAAGATTCCTATGCCTAATTCAACCAAACAGAAGTAGAAGGGGAAAAACTAATAATTTCACCAAAGTTCAAGGGCCAAATTAGGCTCTTTGACCAATTTAAAACAACACCAGTAGTGATTTATTATACTCCTTTATTTTTATGTAGTTTGAGTGCTTAACTGGTGTATGGGAAATCGGTTTCACTGGTGAATGTGGTAATCGCTTTGGACTAGAGCTATTTCCTTCATTTTAAGAAAACTTCGCAAATGTATTGAATGGGGATAAATTTAGATATGGGGAACAGATGAATAATTTGGTATCATATATCTAGGTAAAGAAGTTTCTGGATGTGTTTCAACTCTGCTTTGGCATTTCAGTTTTCTAAATATCATGTTGCACCTTGTAAAATCGGGGAGGAAATACCTCATTTTAACTTTACTAGAGCTGAACCTGTGTGCAAACAGGCATTAACTGACCAGGAATGGTGATTAGGGTTTTATTTATCATTTGACCTCACTGTGGTGATCTGCCAGGATTATATGCTCTTTGATCCATTCGTATACTATGGTATGGCCGAGATGCACGACAGGCACAGAGATATGCGCCTTGATGTTGATAACATGTCCTACGAGGTAAAGAAAAAAAGAGATAATATCCGTTTATTTCCCTCTCATTCGTTTCAAAATTCATGTTTTCTCCTTACACTGATTGCAATACTAGGAGCTTTTGGCACTGGAAGAACGCATAGGAGATGTTAGCACCGGACTACCTGAAGAAAC